GAGAGCATGTGCCAAACTGTTCACAAGGAGGGAACGGGGGAACGGGGTTCCCTCTTTCCCCCTTTCCCTCCTCTTGAACAGGTCAGGGGTACACTCTCTCCTGTAGCTTTGGCTGTACTGCACAGTTTTTTAGTGAGACGGGGTATAGTCACGCGATAACGCAGTGCATGCGCACTTAATAATACTAGTAATAATACTATTAATAATATAATAATAATACATTTTTATTCATAGCAATAAACAAATACAAATACAGGTCTGCGTGAGCCAAGGGAGATGTTGCATGACCTTGCAGTACAGCCCATTCCTTGCAGAAATAGCAGGTAGCAACATAACTCACTAAATATCAACTGTGGATTTATCATTTGGTGATATCATGTAATAAACTTTTTCAGACTCTTTTTGAACCAATGGTTAGAATAAGTTATCTGGTAGCTCATTAAAAATCTTCGGCACGTAAAATTACCTAATACTTTCCCCATAATGAGTATAGATACGAGGAATTTCAAAGCGAGTAGTGTTCTAAATATACGTGGGGCCAAACTCTCAGTTTTAAAATCACTGCATCCAAAGTGACAAAAAACAACCGCCTGAATAAATAACGAATAAAAAGAAGGCAATTTGAGTAAACTAAATAAGTTATCACTTGAGGTGTTGAACCCTAAGTAACACTTTTCAACATCCCCCTCAGAATGCTATCAATTCTGGCGTGCCATTGTCGAAAGCAGTTAAAAAATAGAGTGACACCATACCTAAGGACACTACGCCAAAGAGTGCATGAGCATTTTTCTACTTGCAAACAGAAGGTACACTTTTAGGTTATGGAGCTAACAAGAAACACTTGCGACCAATCTCCGATAGAGACGTCCGCTTTCATACGGCAAACGCTCCCCATAGTTTGAGTTGGACCCTCTCTACAATCTAGGCTAGTGGTCTCAAACTCATTTCAGAGTGGGGGTCAGATAGCCCACACTGGGAAGGCCGAGGGCCAACGTTAGACGGAGGGTTGGGGGGCGGGGGGTCAAGCGTTTTGAAAGAGAAGAGACCTTGTGTTCTATAAGCTTTTCGTAAACTCAGTTTTCCGAGGGACATTTTTAGATTACATTTGTTTATGTGACTACTCTGCGCACTGACTTGATGTGATAACGATAATTAAAATGACACCGCCCCGCCAACGTGCTCGCATTTTTAAAAGAGGAGAGCAAGTACACTGTCGTTCCCGTTGCTCAATTCACTCGGGAATTAACCAAGCTCGATATGTCTCTAAGAAAGAATCAGTTAATTTGGCAGTTCTTGCTTTCCCGACGATTTTCATTACAACACCCATATACTTGTCTTTTCAAAATGATATTTTTTTTTAAGGCGAGAATCCCGAGCTCGTAGTTTTATCTTAGGCAGTTGCTCCTGCTGATTGAGAGTTCTCCGAGATGCATTTTTCAACGAAGAGTTCACACTTGCAGCCTAGTCACGGAATTGTTGTACATTACAAAAAACTGGGAAGCAAAACATAAAGCGAAACAAAGGGCAAATGAACACAGATACGGTATATAGAAACGATGTGAAAAAGTTGAAAAAAGAGGGCCAATTTCCGAGCGAAAATGAATCGGCGAGATGAGATCACGATGGCGCATGCCATTTCTAGTACTCGAGACATGGGAACCGGGACTCGTAGCCGGTTGCCTGCGGGCTGCGTCTCGGCGAGTCGCAGGCCGCATGCGGCCCGCGTGTTTGAGACCCCTGATCTAGGCTATCACGAACAATAGGCGAAAGAAGCGATGTCGCCGGCATGATCCTTTCCTCGTTATGTCATCACTCTAAGTATTGAAGCCGATTTTATATAAAGGCATTTTGTCTCGTTTATAGGCGTTAGAAAACAGTTCCGATAACGCTTCTTGCTCTCTTTATGGCGCACAAAACAACACTATTGGCCTCGAGACCCAGATTGGATTGTATGGAAGCGTGCTTTTGTTTATCTATGGTACTCTATGAGGCATGTGGTGATTCCATCTGTCCACAATGCGGGTGGAGACAAAGCATCCACACCAGCGGCACAGAGCACAGGGCAAGGGTACAGAGCACGAGCTCTTAGCACTTGATCCCAGTGAGCGAGCGCTGCATTGGCGTCTCCCATGGCTTCGGCCTCACGTGCGTAGCATTCCTTTTGCTCCAAGTAAGTGTAAAACAAAGTGTAGTTCTGATTTTCACCGTATGAGCCGTGTCGATCGAATCTCGGGGCGAATAGTCGTGGTGACAGGCGAAGAGCGCATTCGAAGCTCCGCCTCCAGCGCGAACTTTCTCATCTTGAAAGCGGAAGAGTGCTCACGCAGCTGAGTATTCACTGGACGGCATATTTGTGGGTGCTGTTTAGAGCGCAAGCTCAAACGAGCTCATATCAACTGGTTGCTAAGACCGGCACTCTTGATGGTACGGAATGCACGTTGCAAAAGAACTGTGGAAGCTCGCCATCAGCACGCGCTCAGCATTCGCGCACACAGCTATGGCCGACAGTGAATACTCCCTATACACGCAGCCAAAGTACACTCTAGCCAAAGCGCTGCGAAAGACAAAGAGCTCGTGATGGAGGTACTGACTGTAAATGCCACTAAGATGGCCGCAATGCCATCAAAAGCATCTCTTTTTTTTTCTTTTTTCCTTTTTTAAGACAAGAAAAACAACTTTGTTCTGCAACGTGCCGGGATCGTGGATTTGTACAAATTCGTTTTGTTAAACGTCTCACTTTCCTCAGTTATTCGTCGTTTGGTTACATGCACTCGTAGTGATTAAATGCAAAAAAAAAAAAAAAAACTGACAATTTTTTTACTATTAAAATTGTTGCACTACCTCTACAAATGGGCGGTGCAAGGATATTCACTTGGAATGTTTTTCACTTTACACGAGTTTAATGGCGCTCGTGGGACCCAGGTATACTCGCACGCAACACCACTGACCGAGAAACCTCTTTGTTGCAGTGTAATTTCAAGGATAAAAGCTATCCTTCGCAAAACTTGATGACGTGGTGAGGACAGCCCAGTCTGTGAGCATTGGGGTGAATTGCTAACTATACTGCATATTCTTTGGCACTGCAAAAAAACGTCGAACAAGTTTCGCATCACTTTCTGGATATCTTCCATTTCATCCAGTCTTCCTACTGGGAGATGAACCTCTAGTTCCTTTTGGTCATATTTTACATTTTCTTAAAAAAACTGGCTACCTGCACCAGTTATAGATCCTCTGCATAGTAATTCCTTCCTTTTACTATGGAACCTTTTAATTATTTCTTTGGCGCAGCATGACCTATGTTGCTTTTTGCGCCATTAAACACCTAATAATCAATCAATCATAATGTATTTTTATCCACTAGTGTACCAGCATCAGGACCTCTGGGTTGTTCTTAAGCACTGTACAATAAGGGCTGATTGATTGACTGATTATTATTATTATTAATATTATTATTGTGACTGCACAGCAATGGTGTCGGAACGTTGACGTCGCGTGACTATACACCTTGGAGAAATTGAAGGCACGTCATCTATACGTCAACTCAGTTTTCCTGCCAATTTTAGTGGGAAAATTCACGTCTCATGATCAAAACATCAATTCAGTTTTTCTGCTAAATTTAGCGGGAAATTCACGTCATGTCACCTATACACCAGTTCAGTTACCCGCTAAACTTAGCGGGGAAAATCGACATAACATGATTTGACGTCACGTGACCGATACAATCATTCAGTTTCCCCGCTAAATATAGCGGGAAAATGTATATTACATGACACACCGATTCCCTCTCCAATTCCCTTTAATGCATTCTATGCATTACAAGACTTTAATAATAAAGGTCGTTGGATAATATTTTGTATACAAAACTCTAACCTTTTTTCGTATATCGCGGAGGTAAAAGAAGAGTTTGCAAAAATTGCGTGTTAAGAGTGGCTATAAACAATATGCCCACTATATGTAGCTGAGATTTATGCGTGTTTTAACAACTTTCGTCTTGGCATAAATAATCTGGAATGAACATACATTTTTCTAATGACGATGTTTTCGCTATCCGGACACCAAAAGTGCAGATAAAGTTCTTTGTGTTTTTATATTTTATGAACTTGAAATATAACCCTTCTCGCAGGACGGTTTTTTGACATTTAGATTAATAGCTCATATTTCTTCCCTCCTTTCATAACATAGTTACAGATAATTAAACCCTCGCTCGCCTAAACAGCAAAAAAAGAAAAGAAACCCCTATAATTGTTCATTCTACAAATTGTGGCGCAGAACGTACATAAAGAGACCATTTTTTTTATGTAAGGCAGTTTATCTGATCCACAAACGCTGAAACAATGTCTCGGGTTCTGCTCGCCATAGCTGCAATTCTAAGCGTCCAATCCACCAACGCCGGTTTGAAACTTCCAGAAGTAAATCCCGAGCTGGGCCCATGGCAAGATATTGGTCAGGTACGTTATCTCGCACCTTGCGGGCTCTGATTTTGACTGAATACGAGAAAGCATAGTTTATACAGCATGGACCCAAGGAATTTGAGCCCGTGCTCTTAGGTGTGGCCACGGTGGGTGTGGCCCATGCTATTAAAATCTGTATTTCTTTTAGGATTCTGGTGTCGTCTCTGTTCTCCAAACTGGTTAGAAAATTTTATTTACAACAGTGGTGTCATGCCTAGAACAGAACCGAAAACGCGCTATGCACAGTACATACAGGCTCTACAATTCACAAGCCAAGCTAGCCAACCCCGCGCCCAAGGCGCGGGCACGCGCCCGCTGCCCGGCAAAGCGCCCGTCCACGCGATCACTCGCGCTAAGAGACACCAACCAGTACCGCGCTCGCACGTCCCGCCCCTGCGACGCCTCAAAGAGAGGCCGGCATCGCGTCCGGTTCCCCCTTTCTCCGCCTAGCGCGGTTTAGATATGGTCGACGTGTTGAAATCGCAGTTCGACACGAGAGTTGTGCACGTGGAGGTATTGGCAGGACCAGCGCCGCAGGAACTCCTGCTCCCCGAGAAGGAACAGTTGCGCCTCGAGGTGGGACACGAGCTCCCGCCGTAGCCTGAACAAAAGCGGCCAGAGCGCGCGCAACCTCCGTCCCTTTCCTACGGCGCAGCACCGGTTTCGCCACAGGACGTACTCGCTCGCGACGAGCAGAAGGCACGCGAAAAGCCCCCAAGGACAGCGTCCGCGTAGGAGGTACACTGCAACACCCAGCCCCCGGAAACTAGCGCGAACCACCCGCCAGAACGGGCGCGTAACCACACACTCCGACACAACATGCACGTTCGTCTCTCGGTCGTCGCAGTTCGGGCACTGATCGGTGCGACACATGCCCCACCGAAGTAGCCGGTCTTGTGTGGGGAGCACTCCCCAGCCGCGCTGCCACTCGAAGTCTCGAAGGTGTCCTGGAAGGTTGGAGGAGGTGAGGCAGACCCATGGGAACGAATCCGAGAGTCCGATCTGCACGGGAGTGAGCTGTGGTTCCAACAGGGTCTGGGCGAGACGTGACGCTGGTGTTGTCGTGATGTCCAATTGTGGCGCCTGCTCCACGAGGCGGCGATGCAACTGAAGCGCTTTCCAGTAAGCCGGGGGTGGTGTCTCAGCACAGGCACCCGACGGGCCGGTGAGGTCGACACCCAGGTCTCGGCGGGAGTGCCCCACGAAGTAGAGAGCGAGAGATCTGGCCGGGTTTGCAGCTTCGTGTAGGATCATGAGCATGGTCTTAAGCTGGAGTAGCGCGGGCGTGCCATCCACGCAGGGGAAGCCCCATCCTTCCTTCTCGCGCGGGAGGGAAAGCACTTGACGGGTGACAAGCTCGGTTTTCTCCATCCAGAAGAATCTGAACGGAGAACTTCGCGTTTGTCTGATGAAGCTACGCGGTGGTACTACCACCTGCGCTAGGTACAAGAGACGCCCACAGAACACCGAGTGGGCCAGGTACCTGCGCTCGGCCATGGGGTAATTGTATATTTCGAGAAGAGCGCTGGTGGCAGCAAGGCGGAGATTTGCTAGTACATCGTAGGTGATCTTATCTAGACCACGAGTTGTGGATTTGCGGGTGTTGAAAGCGCTCAATCAATTTCACGCTTGTTGATTTTATGCTCTAGCTCTGAATGCACTAGATGCATCTCGTTCTCGAAAGTACGAGTAGGGTGCCTCAGGTACGAGTAGTCTGCGTCTTTGAAGAACGTTATTGGAAAGTTGTTACCACGTCGCTTTGTTGTGCCAACAGAGCGCGTCATTCATCCGTGGTTATCACTTTCGATGTATCCTTCAAAAAGTGAAGCGCGTGGAAAGGTTGTTCATGAATAACCGGCGTGCGAAAAGAAGGAAGTGTTTTCCATGCTATTGAAATAGATGTGAAGTCGGTCAAAATTTTGCTGAAATGTCTCCATCGGCAGACTAAAAGTATTTGCAGCTCTCAACGCATAGGGTTGTGGATTTGTTGGGCCTGGTTGTAGACTTCAAGACTACCTGATTTTCTATAGCGGGGTTCTGCTCTTCGTCTTTTTGAGCGTAGCATTTTGTGTTCACCAGTAACGCCAAAGTGTCCGTTGGGTAGAGGTACAGGACGCCTTACTTATTCGCAATTAAGTAGAATCGAGTTTGCAAATTCATCAGACCCTTTCAAATCGGCAAGGTTCAAAGTGTTGAAGTGTCTAAAATTTAGCCAATTTGTTATCCATGCCATATGTTGCTGACCCCGAATATTAAAAAAAGGGTGTTGTACGATAATAAAAAAAATGGTCGCTACTTCGGCTTTCCCTGTCTGTTATTCATGTCACTTGAGGTGAAATGCCTGGAGAACATAGAGGTCTAAACAGCTGCAATAGATAGGGCCACGAACAAGGGTTGGTAATCCGTCGTTGAGGGCGCATATGTTATACTTGGCCACATACTCGGCAATGACAGTTCCACGTCGATCGCAAAGGTCACTCTTCCACATTGTGTGGTGTCAGTTAACGTCTCCACATATAATAAAAGGGTCAAGTACGTCACGAAATATTTCAAACAACCCAAATGAAGGTATTGAAGCTTGATGTTCGATGTACATGCTCAAAACAGTAAGTGAAGACTTACCACACCGTATCTTGCAGACAACGAATTGTGGGATCTCTTATGTCAAAGAGAATAGGTGCACCGATATCAGATCCTTTCGTACAGCTAGCATACTTATACTTTGACATTTTTGATTAAATGATTTCTACTGCATGTAGTTTTAAAGGTGAAAGTCATTGTCCACGCGAGCATTGGTTAATGGAAGTATTGGTCAAAGTGTTCTGTTTAAGAAATTGACGAAAATCAACTGCCTTTTGCTGTAATCAGTTGGCTTTCCACTGAAATATTCCTAGATGTCAGTGCAAATCAGGCATCGGAATACTCTTCAGTCATTGATGTTCATGAAATCTTATGTAATCTTTCCGTTGCGAATTGTGCTGTTACCTCTGGAAGATTGTTGGTTGCGGGCATGGCGCTGAGTATGGCCCTTATAAAGGTGTATCCACACGACGAACCAAATTGCTGTTTTGGTCCGCGGGCCGCGCATCACGTGATCTTATGTCACCAGTTTTCGAGGTCCGCCGGCGGTCCGCGGCCCGCGCTTGTGAGAAATGCCAAGCGACTTTTCTCGCCCGGACCTTGGCGGCGGACCGCGGCGTTTTTAGTATAATTGAAGCGCTAAGTCTGGCAACAAGCTGACTTTTGTTGTTTGGATTAGAATCCAAGTCCAAAGTCGTTTTCTTTTGGCGCCAACTGTTGAAGACGAAGAAGACGAACCTTTTGTTGTGCGACGATGCAACTTTTTACTTCATCGCGCTCATGGAGCAATTCCCCGCTCTGTGGGAGAATAGTCGCGACGACTACTCAAATAATCATCTAAGGATGTCCCCATGCCTTTTTCGGTTCACTTAAGTCGTCCTCGTCCTCAGTATTCAACGCCAGGGCCACCGCGGTCAAACGTCTCTTTCGTTCAACCTCCATCTTGGCTCCTTACGAATAGCCTCAAAGCAGCTCGCTGCATGCGGTTGGCGGAGCTGTGAGGCCGAGGGTTAGACCGGCCCGTTCCCTTTGTCGTCTGCTCTTTTGGCCCGCCGTGTGGATGCTCATTGCAGCGGGGCGGCCCGCGGGCCGCGCAGCACGTGATCAATCGGTCCGCGGCCCGGTCCGTCATGTGGATACACCTTAACCGTAAAAACATCGGTACCAGCAAAAGCGTAACGTCACTAGATTGCCGTGCCTCAAAGTAATTCTCATGATTACCGCGTCGGCGCATATCACACTTTTCTGTGCGGGGTGCTGGTATAAAGGAGAGGTTTGATATTCGGTCTTTTGAAGGCGTTTGACCAGGAATTGTTGAGTTTATGTGCGATGAAGTCTTGAACTTGAGCTGGGCGTTTATTTGGAGTTTTAGCACGTCGGAATACCGCCACCGACGAGGCTGTTGAAATGCTTGTGCCTGCTGTGATGATGTAGCGGGACGACGGGGAAGTGGAGGTGATCAATAAGGTGGTAAAGTAGGCAGTGAGGGGTGGATCATTTGAAGATTCGGGGAAGGATAATGATTGTTTTATTGATATATTCATGTTTTTAAGGTTTCTAGCTGCAGCTGCTGCCTTTTTGCGAAGACAGCCTAAACAAAGCGCAGCGAGTGCCTCCACAATTTGCACACTTTGGATTAGTTTTGTGCACTGAGTCCTTGTAGCTGTGTGGTCCAGAGCACATCTTGCTGCGATTTGCCCATGTCCTTGGCATCGAAAGCACTGTATCAGGGTCCCAAAGTACTCAATCACAGGATGACTGGTGAAGCCCAATAGGAACCGTGCAGGCATTGGGTGATTCTTTGGAAAGTAAAGCAGTACACTCTCTGTCGGTTGTTGCTGCATGTTGCCGTCTTCTTTCCTTGAATATGCAATTTGTCGCTGGACTGCGATGACAGCAGCGTCCTTCAGGTTGTCTCGCAGTCCGCAGTCTGAGTATTGGAAAGGAATGTCGCTGACCTTGCCAACATTGCGTGTGTGTGACTCGGACACGGTCACAATCACGTCGATTTCGTCAAGAAATTTCGTCATAAGGAATCTGTTCGCTGAGAATTCAGCTTCGCGTGTTTGCCGTAATTGTGCCATCTTTGCTTTTGAGTGATGTTAGTAACGTCTCTTGTGACACTGTCTCTGTTTCTTTTGCTGTACTCTTAGGGTTGATTTTCCGAAAAGCGGTTCCCTGTTTTTTGGGGCTTGATCATCAGGGGGACTCCGGCGGGGCGATGTTTCCGTACTGTGATTTGAGTGAAGTCGTCTTCGTCTCCAGAAATGCCGTCATTAAACGAGTAGTTGGATGTTCTCTCTTTCTCTAATTTGTTCCGGGGGGTGATTCACGCGCTGTTTCTTCGATGGAACGTTGTCATTTTGGTCTTTAGCCGTCAATTGCGGCCCTTGTAGTGATTGACGTGTTTTCGCTGCCGAAATATGGCTCGTGGTCGCGACGGTATTCATTTGAGCGTCCGAGGTGGGGTGGCTTGGGTAGTCGCTTTTTAGCCGGCAGGGTGGTGCCCGGTGAGAGCCCCGTACGGTCCAGTGGCTAATGGAAATGTTGAGGTAGCCAAATAGAGCAGGATAGCATATCATTTCTAGCTTACGGGAAGAGTGGCAGAAAATGGGGGAAAGTGGGCTATTCTAAAAATCGTCGTTGTTTTTTTCCTTTCCAGCAATTCCTAAATCTCAGCATAAAACATTCACATTCATTTCGTGCGATATATTTAATAACTCCTTGATGTGAGGGATATTTCCAGAAACGTGGAAAATGGCTGTTATTGTTCCAATATTGAAGACAGGCAAGAGGTCACATATCCTTGATTCTAGACCTATCTATCTTCCCCTCTCGTTTTCCAAGCTGTTGAAAAGGGTCATACATCACTTCTTGTTTTTAAAGTTTCCTAACATAGCTATCCCTTACCAACACGATAACAAATTCGCAGTTGACCTGTCTGGCAGGTGACCTGCTACAAATCTCGTGACTTTTATGTTCACCGCTACTCAGGCCGTTTGTAATAAAGGTCAGCTGAATGTTATCTATGTTGACTTGAGCAAGGTCTTCGACGTTGTTAACCACACTATCCTCTTAGCGAAGCTTTCCGCTTATGGAGTGTGTGGTTCAGTTCTTGACTAAATTAAAAAGGATCTGAAAATAGAATCGCAGACGTCCAGGTTGACAATATAGCTACATCATTTTGGAGCGCTTCCCCTGGCGTTCCTCATTGTCTTAAGTCCTTTCCTGTTTTTTTTTTTTTTTAATTTTTCTAAACGACGTTTTTTACGTTTTTTCTAAGTTTTCATTTCTGCAGTATGCAGATCATATAAAACTCTACAAAAATGAATAGCATTGGTGATAGGATTAGGCTTCAAGAGCACGCATCTTACTTTTATTATTGGTGCTAGGTTAAAGATATTTGTATTAACCGATCGAAAACTAAAGTTATGATATTTTCGCGGAAGACGTTGAATACCATTTCAGCTTATAGCATCTGCAGCGAGCCGTTACCACGTGTGTCTGAGATGAAGGACCTGGGGGTTATGTCTGTTTCGAGCTTCAGGTTTGATGGTCACATAACAAGAGTTGTTAACTCGTCTCTACGTTAGGCGCCACATGTCGCATGACCAAGGAATTTAAAAATCCGTTTACGTTTCTGCCACTGTACCACTCGGTAGTGAGATCGCAACTTGAGTACGCCTCAGTTGTGTAGAAGGGCCTCCTTAAAACTGACTCCTTGGAACCCGATAAAGTTCAAGATAAGTTTATTTGCATTTTTAAATGTCGCTACGTTAAAGGAAAGCTGAAGCAGTTTTATATATGAGTAAAAAAAAACACCCGAGCCTGGTTAATTAGACCTCAGCTATCAAGAATACCAGATTGGTTTGGTCATGTTGAGAAAACAGCGCGACTGGAACGAGGACAAAAATACG